GACAAACTTTGATAAGCTACTTTGTCCACTTTTGTCCAAATGCACTCTTTGCAGTTATATATAAGTGCATCATAAGATTACTTAATATCAGTCCTATAAGACTTATCTCTGTTTTTCTGTGAGGTCCCACAAAGGAGCACAGACCATGTTGCAGACTTTTCTGCAGCTCAATGCCTGTTTTTTCTTGTGTTTTGCATTGTCCCTTAATCCTCAGTCAGAATCGTGTCATGAATCATCACAATACTTACTTTCATATATGGCCATGCTTCGTGTTTTTGTGCTGGTGTTGCTCATACTGGGAGGGGGTTTGTGGCTCAGAAGGTTAGTGCCTGTGATTAGAAGGTTGTTGGTTCAAATCCCAAGGTCAGCAGAATGATATCACTATCAGGTCCTTTAACCCCAACTGGTCCAGGGATCAGTGGACCCTGCCCTCTCAATAGTGTAGTACTGTCTGTCACACTGTGTAATACCTTGGCAAAGAGGATCTGGGCCCTTGCATTCCTACAGGAAGTTTGCAGGTTTTGATAGAGAGGTCTGCAAGAGGACGTTCACATTTCAGTTGCTGGAAAGTGTTTCATCTTCAGAATGTTGCATCCTCAGTTCAGTGGCACCATCATTGTATTTAGACATAGGAGGGAAACTGTAGTTTGAGACCAGAGGTGATACCAGAAGACACTGGCTGGGAAAGTGAGCGCATTCGAACTACACACAGATATCCTCAGGATGACTGATAGGGCTGTAAAAAGGGAACTAATCAACATCCTTTCATCAAAATTACACGTAAAATATTTTTCTGGAGCTAGCCTCAAAGTCCCACAAAAGCAAATATCATGGCAACTAAAAAATTATGAATCCTGAATCACAGCAAGCTGACAGTCTTATAAATATTGTAGGGTGGTGAAAGAGACAAAGTTACAAAGTCGTGAATGAAACTTTCCCTAGTCAGTTGCATAGTTAATTTGCTGTTATTCGCTATTTTATGCACTGGCTCAGGGCAGTAATATTTGTAGAAATAGACCTGCTTTGAAAGCAGATTCCAAGCACTGAAAGAGACATTTCCTCTGGGAGGTGCCCCCAGGGACAGCGGGAGATAGGAAAACGCGGTTTGTCAAAGCACGTCATCCAGCAAACGACGCTCGGGAGGGCAGTGGCTGACATTGTCGTTAACCGCCGTGTTCAGTTAAAGGCCATCATTTGATCTGTCCGCACTGTGATCTCTCATCCAGACAACTTTACATACAAATGTTTTGATCTGCGTTTGTTTACTATTCACTGATTTAAAATCAGATCCATAAATAGATCTTTCACAGACTAGAAAGAGCCTTGAAAAGTCAGTTAATCTTTTTAACGAACGAGAAGTGTTTGGCACAATGCCAGTTATTTGTGACTTATGGATCTGTGTACGTGTTTCTTTGTGTATAGGAAATGAAGAAAAAAAAGTTAGGTACTGAAGGTGCCTCAGTGTACTGCATGCTTCCTGAGAACAAGTTCCACTGTTCCCAGCTGGATGACTTTGACCCGACCTTGACCGACCTTTATGAATGCAGGAAGACGTTGACACATCCTGTCAAGGGTGGCACGCTGCCACCTGCTGGGAGTATTCTCCGTTTGTTGATTAAACAAGTCCCGATGACCGGCTGCGCAGACATCTCTGTGAGAATGGGAGGAAAATTAACCTTGGTGTGTAATCAGTCTTCCGATAACTTGGTTGTTTTTTTGTGGGAAAACAAGGAGCCCTTAGATGTCGATAGGACTGTAGGTCGCACGTCTTGACCCTGTGTGTAGAAAAACACTGCAGGAACTGGCTGCGAGCAGTGCCCAAGTCTCTGCACAGACCTCCCAGGCCCAGAGGTCTCTACTTTCACTGGTGTTTTCCTGGGAACCTGACTATGACCAACCCCATCTGCACGGCTGAATTTTGATTATGATTAGCATCGACAACGTGTTCCAGTTTAGCCTGGTAATATGGGAGTTTAACCGGGGGGGTCACCTCTGACTGTTGTATTTAACTTGTGAATAATGTGGGGAGGGCTGTGTTGATGCTGCATTCAACCCATTAGGTGACATAGGCGACTGCCTAGGGCGCCATCTTCTGCCAGCCAGCTGCTGGCACCCCCTTCAGGCAAGCTTTACCGTCATTACTGGGTGCATTTCCACAGATAATTCCAGGAAAAACGACTTATAACAAATTTCATGATTGTTGTTAGAAGTTTGATCATGCCTGTAATACAAAAGGATGCAATACTGTGTTTTTCCTGTATTCCTTAGGAATACAGCACTCGCAGAAAGTCTTGAGACGCTTTGCTTAATTCTGTAACAATGTTGCAAATTTATTGGTTTCATAACAAGCAATGTTTAACATATCTGCACATATCATCCACACAGACATTTTCTTAAGTGTATTTTTTTGACTGACTAAGTTCTCTTCTTGCCATTTTGCTATTAATTTCAGTTGTAGTCATTGGCTTCCAAAGGGATACTAAAGTCAAATATTTGGTGCTTTATGTTTTTTGAAAAGATGTTATTAATTAAAAAGCACCCAATGAGACTGCTTGTCAGTGGACTTTGTAATTCAGAACAGCTCTTTTAGAACTATAATCTGTCTTTCAGTTTATTACTATTTGGAGCGTTTTACTTAAAGCTACTGATGGTTTCTAATGTGATTTTTTGCTAAACAATAAAACATTGATTTTGTTATAAAACCAATAAATCTGCAATGTTTTTGCTGAATTAAGCAAGTGTCCTAAGCCTTTCTGTGAGCGCCGTATGATTAACTAGTCCAGCTATTTGAAATCCCCCCCCCCCATGACTTTTTGTATCCCTTCGATCAAGTTCCATCAGAAAGAGAAAACAGCCCTTTGTATCCTTAGCTTCTGATTTCAGAACAAGGGTTTGTGTGTTGTGCTGTAGTTTCCACACAACACAGTTAACATTTTTGAAGAAAATCCTTTCAAAACTTGATTTTTGTGTCATAATTTTGCTCCTGTTGGACTGCAGCCTCACAGAGGGTACTGAGAGACATGGTACGGCTTAGAGCCTCGTCTTTCATGCCTACCATTAGCTTTCTGGTATATAAGCATCGGGGCACAGTTTTCAGTTAGCTATACAGCAGATGAGCCTGAACTGGAGCACTGCAGTCAGCTGCAGCTGCAGTGCATTCTGGGAATTGGCCCAGGAGCTCAGACCGTGCTGCGTGTCTTTATCGCTGTGTCTGCGTTGCTGGTTTTGGCCCTGACACATGTATCGGCTGGGGGCAGGCATTCTCAGGAAGCATTACTGGGCGTAGATTTTTGAGAAGATACATTTCAAAGGAAGAGCGGAGTGAAGATCTGCTGCTCTCTGAGTACGGTGCAAAACACGCATAGGTTTCTCCATTCGGCTGCAGTATCCCGCTGAATGCAATAGGAATTTCCTGTTTTATGAATGACATAATGCAAACATACAAGGCCGCGATGAAACACAAACAGAGAAAGTACAAGGCATGTTTACATTCCACCCTGTGTATTAATCCATACCATAAGTCAGTCCTGGGGCATTTGTACTCTATATTAAACAATAGTAATTCAGCAGTGTTTAATAGTCTTTTTATTATCTACACAACATTCTGGTGCGTTGTGAAATAAGTGTATTGTTTTGGTAGTCATGAAAAAGCAGCATTTGTGTCTGTTACAATAAATGAGACTTAATATGGTGGTTAGAAATGACAGAGCTTATTTTTAAATATAGGGAAACAGTTTAACATTTACCACTGCAGTACTGGGCTGTTATTTTGCACTTGTAGTCTTCCTGTCAGCTGTTCTCCTCTCTCATTAACAAGGTGTCTTTTGTCACAGAAATGACATTTACTTGCCATTGATGTTTTTCGGTTGTCGCACCATTTTTAATTTTATTTTTATTTTGGTAAACTCCAGGCACTGTAGTCAGTGGGAAGCTGTTTCTGAGATGCCGGAGCCACCGTGGATCACGCCAAAAATCATATGCTCAAACCCGTTTAGATCAGGCGTCTTGCAGGGCTTAACTTGCTGGTTGTATTCAGTTGCTGTTCAGGGTAGCAAACTGTTTGCATTAGCAAGCAGGTGTAGGTAATAAAATGGCCACTGAGTGTACATTACACAACATGATGTCAAAAATTATAACCTCCATCCAGAAGTCATCCCATTGTCCGCTAGCAGACCGCCCCTCCACTCCGTTTGCTCGGGATTCAACAGCGACAAAGTTTATGTTCGCAGCGCATTTTGTCAATGGTCGATGTTAGTGCAACGGCGGGGATTAAGTCGCTCCTCTTCCACGGTGCAGGTCGCCGGACCTTAATCCCACCGAGCAGCCCCTGCGGCTGCACAGGATTCTCCCTCTAATCCGAGAACGGCCGCGTAAATCATCATTTTAAGCAATCCTAATTGCTTATATATGAGAAAATACATGCTACTTACGACTTGTATTGCGTGATATATTTTCGTATTCACACGGTTTAATAAAAGCGGAAAAAAGTTAAATTAGAGCAAAGTGCTTTTAAATGTCAAAAGTTAAGACTACTTAATTTTTTTTTTTTTTACAAATGCAATATAATCCTACAATTCCATGACATTCGTTGTATAACAAAATACAAATTAAATATACGCCTACGAATTACAGAGAAAATGCAAACAAATTGTCCCTGTCAGTAATGAAAAATAGCAGTAACTTCTCTGGTATTTACAATCACGACGTTTTTGTATTTAAATTGAGTATTGCATTATTGTAGGATAAAGCACTGTCTAAACATTTTTGTTGCTAACATTATTATATCTGGATTTGGGGGGTAATTAAATCTTCTAAGGGGTAAATTATTTTTTATAGTAGTAATTTGAGGTGGCTGAGAGTCAGATGTGCGGAGATTTTTATGCCATATACAGACATACTGTCCCCGGATTTCCATTGCTCCCATTTAGGAGTCCACTCCACACTTTCCATGACACCCTTCATCTGACCCAGCTGACTGGCAGTACTTGTTTACTGGTGGATAGAGACAGAAAGAGACGGAAAGGGGGGGAACCTGAGAGTGAGGAACCATAGATAGTGGGTATATAACTTTTTCGCTTTTAATAGTCTCGCGCTGTCGATTGTAGCCTATTTATCGTACATTGGAAATATTTCCTAAAAAAAAAAACAAAAAAAAAACGAAACATCAAGACACCTTCCCGGTTCGGATTAGTTTTCTGGCTAATCTCAATGAAACAGATTATGCTCCTTGGACTTTTCCGATTTCGAGGCACTGCGTCGGAGGCTATACCTTTTTAATTTTATTTTTAAGTGATCCACGGTTGGATTTCTCGTGCTGATCTTTTTCCCTTCGTATTACTGCGGCACCCTAGCGAATGACTTGAGTTTCGCATTACACCGAAAAGGAGAGGCATTTGTGGGATATTTCCCCCTTAGTACTGTAAGGACTTCCTACGGGGTGCTTATTTTTTTCCCTTGGCGATCTGTACCGTGGAATAACTTCATGTAATATGCAAAGCAAGGAGAAAGCTAAAAAAAAAAAAAACGACGACCTGTGGAATTAAATTAAATACATTCTACCTTTGTTCGGCGTACAAGGGATTTTGGAAGAAAACTGAGACTGAATAACATTATAACGAAGGTTTTCCGAGATATTGTGAATAATTGCATGGATGTGCGTTGTCTCCTGAATTGTTGAATGAAAGTGGGATCATTATTGTAGAGGAGGACGCGGCTGGGAAGGAGCGCATGAGCGAGACGCTGCCGCCCCTTCGAGGACCTCCTTACTGGCGGTGGGGGCTCTTTTTTGTCGACTCCAGAAGGATTTTGTCAAACAAACTTTAACAGATTAAAGTGGAAGACGGCGCATTATAGCTGATTTGAATGTGGGACTGTTCGGCGTCGCCGGAGCCCGAGGTCTCGCCATCTAATGCAGGATTTATTCTGGCGGAGGTGATGAGAAGTTGAGGCGCTGGGAATATTGAAAACAACCACGTTGGACTCCTCGGCCCCTTTTTTCTGGGGGGTGGGGGTGGGGGATAGGTGACAGATCGCGTCATTTTTAATCAAACATACTTTGTATAATTAATTAGCCAGGTATACAAAACTCAAGTGTGAATTGAACTTTAAGTATTTATATAGGTTACGCCGTCTACGTTTCCGTGGATAACAAACGCTGAGGACATAATCGGATTCAAGATGCAGATGGGGACTTGGGCGATTGTTTTGGTCGCTTTTATCCACGTCCTATGCAATTGCGGGCTGACGAATGGAGAAAGTAAGTACTCGGTTAATGCATTATTTTCCACGGCAGGGTTAAAAGTCACGTTTTGGGTCTCTCTTGCTGCGGTAGTTCATATTGGGGGAAATGAGAAACAATAACCAAGTATATTTCTAATAATGTATCGCAAGATAGCTTGCTGTGTTGTCTCATCATCAATAGCCGTGTGAATTTATTAGCTTCTGGAAAGCTATTGTGATTGAAATGCAGATGTATCTTTGGCACGATTTGATTATAGGTTTCTTATTAAGCTGTGGTGATAATATTTTTGTAGGCAGCAGTCAGAAACGCGCACCCAGGCACGCATGCATGTAATATTAAGCTACGGGGCCTTGCGTATTTACGTCAGCCTGAAGGTTAGATTAGTTGTGATTACTGAGCTGGGGTGGTCTGATGCAGTGTGACTAAACCGAAAATTGCGGGATCCGTTTGCACACCGAGGCCTCTTCCCAATCCTGCCTGGCCGGGGTGTAAACAGGTTTTTGCCCAATCCCCCCTCTGCATCACTGCTGCATGAAGCCGCGCGCTCTCGACCCCCGGCCGCTGCAGCCCCGCTAACCTGCTAGCAGCCGGATAACGCGTGCTTCCCCAGGGCTGCTGCCTGGGACGTGATGGGATGGGATGGGCGCATTATTTGGTTACAGTAGCGTCAAATTTGACGATGTGTTTTACATCTTGTAGAGGGAGCCCCTATAACGTCGACATAGTAAATATAATCAGTTTTCTTATTAATTAATGGAAGCACTTATGGCTGGCTGGCTGTTTCTTCTTAGGTTTCCTGCCATCATGTTATTTAAAATATTTTTAATTGTATGGTCATGATCATCTCAATAATCTGCACATACATCATTAACGGATGCACATGAATTGCCCAGTAGTGCTTAAGGGTGGTGCATTTTTGGTAACTCATTCTTACGTGGCACCCCAAACAAAACTTTAAGGGCCTGGGTGCAATAATGCTTTGGATAGACAATAGAATAGCCCTTAAAGCAGTCACCAGTAATGAACAATAATCTGTATAGTGTTTGTGTTGTTTGAATTAAGCTTGGTAGTGACTAAGAGTCTGCAAGTGGGAGAGTCATTTAACTTTAGACTATTTGAAATTTAATTCATTTTGTATTCTTTGTTAAACTTCACATAAACCCACATAAAACACATTAATGTTTTCTTTTGTAAATATGGACTCCTTCCTCGATATATTGCTACCACACTTTACGATTCTGTAATCTGCAAATCGGTTTGAATTATCAGACCTGTTTCCAGCTAGCATTAAACCACAGGGAGCAGGCTGATTTTATGATTAAACCCGTAACGTGAGCATTACTTTCAATGTGCTTGTTATTTCTGCCTCTTGTATGTGAAATGTTGCGCAGGTGTATGTCTGCGTTGTAAGTGGCCATGGATCAGTGGCTGAACACGAGAAGATGTTTGCATACACACATATGCCAGCCAGCTATATTTTCAATCATTCAGCTGTGAGAGGAGCCATGTAAATCACTGAAGAAAGCCAGTCCATCTCGCTGGATTTATTTTTCATGTAGTACCAGTTGGTTGCTGATAATTTTTGTGTATCACTGGCCTCAGCTAGTTATCATATTGTCACTTTTTTAGACTGACATATTCTGATTTGTTAATTCTATATGCGTTACAAGTCTTTGCATCTCTAAAATGTTAAGGGGGCGTCTGTTATGGCATTAATTCTCAGACTGTTTTCATTTTCAAATGTTTTTCAGCACTTCGAGTGATCCTTCCTTTCACATGATTTTTGTCAGAAATGGTAAAAAAAAAAAAAATGGGCATGTATTTGTTTACACCAGGATTTTTGGTCCCAGAGAAGTATAATGTTCTATGCTCCTTTTTAATTAGATGTTTTCCCTGGAAAACGTTTTGTCTGTATATGTGAGGTGAATACCAATCAGAAAATAAAGTGGATTTTCATGAGATCTGATTGGTTGCTTTGTACAGGAAAGGGTGAGTTAAACTATTCTACTGACCGAATCCCAAACCTATTTTAACTTTAATCTGAATTCATAACATCATCCCTCTTCAGGGTCTGTTGCGGTCGCTTTAATGTCTAGTTTATTTTTCCTGCTCGCATATTTAATTTGACAGTGATAATATTCAATGGGCAGTTTTCCACCTGCTGCCATACAAAGTCCCACATGGGGGGGGGGGGCACATAATTGATATTTATATTGCCAAAGTATGATTACAGATTTAAAATGTGTTGTGGCCAGTCAGCGGTCCACTATAAAGTGACTTTATTTGCCACACGATGTAAACTGCAGCACTGCGGATGTGTAAAGAGATGCTGATTGACACAAAAACCGAGGTCAGTCCTGTCTTTCTGAGGATCTTTCTGAGGATTGTCCTCGTTCCTCGTGGTTTCCCAGCGGTGTGACGTGGCTCAGCCTGTATAATATTGAGGGCCATTTATTTCAAATCGCTTTACAGTCTGTTTTCTGAATGGAAAAGGTCAGTCTGAAGAACACACTCCGTAGCTCTCCCGCTTCTCACTTTTGGTTTGCGTTCTTTCTTACATTTCTGCCGGGCGAGGCAGCTGCTCTCCTCACACTTAGCTGCCTTTCAGCTCGGTGCCCGCCATGCCAGCAGCGCCCATTGTGGGGTCTGGGCGCTGTGGTAGATCCTAATGTGACCGTTAAGCTTGGTGGAGCTTTAATTGAAGCGCAGTGTCTCTCAGCCACTGTACTGGTGGTGCTGCTTTTGATGAGAGCATAATGCAGTGTGAGCCGACGTCGGCCGCGGTCGGGGGCCTCCCGCCATTAGCTGTGCTTTTCTCTTTTTTTTCTTTTTCTTTCCCCTGCCCCCCCTCTTCGGCCACTCCTCCTTTCTGTTGCTCATCAGTTAGTAATTTGTTTTTCGGTCCTGGGCTGTGCACAGGGAGACTGCAGTATTAGCTGGCATTGCTTACAGTGGTGGGCCGTATCGCCAGACTCATTGGTGGGTTCGAGTTTCAGGTGCTGTCCTTGGGGTTTTATTATTATTTATTTGATCTTGAGCGCTTTCATCAATGTGACCAGCGCTGGGTGCTGTGATTGTATGCATTTGTAATTATTCAAGTCAAATGGCGCGTAATTGTCATACTATTCATATGCAGGTATAAAAAATAAAGTTTCCCCCGCTGCACAATTCGACATACGAACAGCAAGTGACAAGGGGAGAGTTTCACAATAATTAAAGTGCACAAAACACAGGACAGTGCGAAAGACTGAGGCTGGACACAAGGGTTTTTGTACTTGGTGCATTTTCAGTCGTTTGTTATGTTACCGACACGATTGATAAGATTGTCCACGCCAGTCTGTAAGTGATAAAGATGATGGCTGCGTTGGCCTCCTATGGATAGGCGGCTGTTCTACACTCGGGCGATAAAAGCGCCAATGGAATGCGTCCGCTTTGGGCCGTGTATGATGCGATATCCTGCCCAGTGTAACTGGAGAGCGGGACTCCATGTGTGTTCATGGTGAGTTCAGTCGGCGGTAACAGGAGTTGCCTGGACACCTTGGAGCACCTACATGCATCTCTCAGAAGATGAGCTTCGGGAAGGTGGTGGCTGGACCATCTAAAGAGGCTAAATGTATTAACATGAATTTTAAGCTCTGCCTTGTTTAGTGATCGCTGCACTATTTATAGTACCTCAGGTATATGGGCCAGAGCTGTTGGGTATAACCTTGTTATTGTCATCATCCTCCTCATCATCTTCATCTTGCGTAGATGGGTCATTGGAGAAGCAGAGTAGTTTTGTGGGGCAGTTACCTCAGGCAAAGATCGAATGATATTAATGTCATTGACTTCCAATGGCAACTGAACTTGTTAGGTAAAACATATCCCGTTTCAAAAATTTGTGTATGGTGGTGTGTAATTGTATCGGCCTATCAGGGTCTGCTTTGAAGGTTTTACGGGACCGCATAAGATGTGTAACATGTTGAATGTAACATGAATTATGCAGTACTTTTTTGATTTTTCGATTTTGTAATGTCGCGTGGACTCTTCACTTCATGACTATGACAGCAGATATCTATGTTAAGAAACTTTTTTTTCTTTTTCTTTTTCATTTGAACCCCAAACATGATGAGTAGAAGCTGAGTCTATTGGGCTGTTTTGTTTACGATTGTCGTCGTCCATTCCATTCCTTGTGCTGACGAGCGTAAACCCTTTGGCTGTCAAAACAAAATCGTGAGTGGGATTAAGATGTCACCGTGATGAGAGGGGGCACCGAGGAGGGTTAAATTTATGGAAGTGCTGTGTGAGGTAAGTGTGTGGCATCGCGTTTTTATATGGGAGTTAAAATTCATGAGCCTCTAACAGGAGACTTCCCACATTAGCGGAACGTGCCTTGCAGATTTTTCTCTCTCTCTCTCTCTCTCTCATTTTTTTTCTCTCAGCACAGCAAAATGCATCGCAGTGAATTGCAAATAAACCCGACTTGCTCCCCACTGTGGAAGGGGGGGGGGAGGCTGTCTCCCCACAGAACACTATTTATCTTTACTTAGTTAGTGTTTGTATTTATGCTGTCAGTTGCATTGCTCTCGTAGGGAATGCAGGCTGGAGACTGATATAAAGGAGGGTTAGAAGATGCTGTCTCAGGTGGGCTTACTCTCCCGTTTCAGCCCCTTCTTAATTTATACTCTCCAGAATGAATATTTACAAGTCGAATTATGATGTGTAATTAGAATGTATTTTTGTTGTGAATCAAGCCTCTAGATGATTACATTTTTGAATGTGTGTTTTGCACATAGACTGCCTTGTCTGTGTAGCTACATATTTGATGCTGGCCTGAGTAGTTTGCTAAGGGTAAAATTACTTACATGCATGTGTGAGTCTGAACTGAAAGCGTTTAATGATTACATCATGGTTTGGCTTTGTGTCTCCATTAGCCCTCCTAAGATTTCTCACTATTAATAGTTAATGTTAATATTAATATGTTAATATTAACTGTTGTCAATAACTACAATAAACAATGGTTTGTGTTAAGGCTT